GCAACCTAGAATATATACAATGGAGCTTTTCCAAGCTGTTTATTTACTCCTGCTAGAAAGTAGTTCTGAGCTCCATCTCTGGTCCTGATTGGAGATCGTCACATGTTTTCCAAACCACAGGCTTCTTATGCTCTTGCAGATCATCAGGCATGAGAAAGATAAATAAATAAGTGGAAGGATGGCTCAAAAATTATTAGAGGGAAGAGGGCAAATGGGATTGCTGCAGAGTGAGAGCACGAGGAGGTGTTTCCTTGTGGTGGGCAGGTCTCCAGCTCCCCTCCTTTGGGGTCCTCACCAAAGCAGCTGAGGGCCCCCATGTGCTCAGGCACCACAGGGCTGAGGCTCCCACCACACCAGCCCAGCGGTGTGATTTAGAGCTCCCTGGTGACTTGCAGCACTTCCCCAGGTTCCTCTGGCAACCTAGAAGGGGTCTGCACCCACGCCTTGGTGCCTGCACACCTGTGCTCCCCAGCCACATTTTTCTTTTGTTGGGTAAGGAATGACTTGCAGCTCCTTTCATGTGCACAGCTCGGCTGCTGCGGTTTTATTGAATGCCAGCGCTCGCTGGATGTTATTCAGGCAAACTTTATATATGCCACAGACCCTCTCAGCAGCCTGCACCTGGTCCAGGGCAAAGCTGAGCCTCACGGAGAAGAATGTGCTGCAATGCAGCAAGTTATTACAGGATAAATATTTATAAGCCCCTGTAAACATTTGCCGTCGGTTCCCTCCTGGGACTCGGGGCAGACGGTCAGAGTTTCAACAGTGCTGAAGGCATTAGCTCTCGTAGTTCTTTACATGTTATCTCAGCTAGTAAACCCATCGCTGATCCTGTATGGTTATAGCATGTAGTGGTGCTAATTTCACACTAACACGAGACAGCGGCTGGAATTGTGGCAGGCCTTGATCCTGGCCCTGCTCTTGGTGGGGGTGTCCCCTGCAGCCCCAGGGGCACTGGGCACCTGGCCAGGGTGCCTGAGTTGGGTCCCCACAGCTGCAAAACCTTCCCTGGTCGTGGGAGCTGCGTCGGTGTTGTTGGAGCCTTGGAGGCAGAAAACAAACACGGCTAAACCAACATCCTCCTCGGGGCTGACCCCGGCAGGGGCTATCAGCTCTCGGGCTGAGGGGGGCTAATCTAAAGCAAATATTCCCTGGAGGTGTCCAGGAGCTGTCCTGCCACGGCAGGCTCTCCGTGAGGGGACATGGAGGGTGGGCTGCCTCCCCTGGCACGTGCCATCCCCTCCCCGGAGGGGCAGCCTGTGGCCAGCTGGGCCCATCACCCCATCACTGCTGCCTCTGTTGGGGCTGAGAGGGGGCTAACGCAGGGCTGGGAAACTGGGGAAGAAATGCCAGGGCAGGCAAGGCCGTGACTCCCCCATGCCCTCCAACGCAGCAGTAAAACAATGGGCCCTGGGCAACGGCGCTGGTTGCATGGGACTATTTGGGGGCTTCCCTTTGCTGCTCATGCACGAAAGCCAGTCATTTGGCAAAAATCAGCTCAGTTAGCAGGCATTGTTCCTAAAGAGCCAGGGCCTGAATGGGCTCAGGGCTAATATATTCTATTATCCCACGCCTGCCTGTTTCCCCAGGGCAGTGTGGAGGGAAAGGCACATTCCAGCGTCTGGGCCGGGGCAGAGTGTGCCCAGAGCGGGCAGGGAGGGCG